GAGGAAACAGAAGTTAAGGGCGGTTCTAGACCGAATGTACCGGGGGCCATTTTTTTATTTCTATTCAATTAGTTTTAATTAAAATTCTGTCTTCTAACTTAATTTTTTTTTCTTTAAAATGTTGATTTGCATTATTGTTAAAATCGAAATAAAAATCCATTAGCAAAGCAAAAAAGCAACAAAAAAAATTGTAGCTATATAAATACCTAAAAGATCAAATAAAGCTTCAAATTCAGGAATTTTGCATATTTTTTTACTTAATTTAAGTTAAAAAAAATTGGTTTTCTAGAACTTAAGACAAGCTTAAGAGGGTATTTTCTATTATCATTATTTAATTTTATTAAAATATTTAGTAAAACAGAATTTTTTTTAAAGAAAAAAAAATGAAATAGATCCAAAGGACCAATCAGTAACCGTTTCTGTTCCTGCAAAGATCATCAGTAGAATTTCTTTTAGTTTTCTGTCTGCAGTGCAGGGGCCATAACAGGGGCACCGGCCCCCGTTATCCCCCGTCTAGAACCGCCCATGAATGGAGGGGATTTTAAAATGTAAAAGTCACTGAAAAAAATAAACCAGCTTTGAATCTCAGGATTAATTTGTAGAATAAATGTGAGAGAAATTATTTTTTTTCTGAGACCTTTTTCACTGACAGGTCGTTCAGTTTGAATATTTCTGCTTCAGTCGGCGACTTTAGCGAAACAAACGGACGGTTTGTTACGGAATTAATCACCGTTTGGATTTTAAGCTGTGAACCGGGATTATACGGGGTGCCATTCGTATAAATATAATAATAATCGCAGCCATATTTTAGGTTATTTAGGCTGTAAAAGATAAAAGAATTACAGTTCATTTTTCAAAGTTATATGATCCATCAGACATTTATACATTTCACAACGTTTTTTACAAACTAAACATTTTATCATAGCTTTAAAATATTTAATATAAAACAGAACATTTGTTTTTTTTAAGCCAATTAATTTTCTTTTAATGTAATATTTATTCAGAAAATGTCAACACCAAACATTTAGTGTCTAATAATATATTTACTTTCTTAGCTTAATATTTGATTTGGAGCTAATTCTTTAGATTGTGAAATAAATATTTAATTTTGAGGTAAACATTTAAATTACAAAATAAATACTTGGACCTAACTATTTAGGTTTAAACAAATGATTTTATTGAAAGCAAAATATTTATAAAATTAATATTTAATTTTAAGCTCACTGTTTTGCTTTATGAATAAATACTAATAATTTTTTATATTTAATTTAGATAGAGGAATAAAATCTTTATTAATCAATATTTTTCCTTTGGGATTAATAAAGGATTTTTGAATTCAATTGAAATAATCGAAGGTTTAGTTTGGTTATGCGACATATAAGTATAAAAATGATCGGCTGGTAATCTGATCTAAAAATAAACTTCTAAGTTTTTACAGGCTAAATAACCCATAATATTGGTGTGAAGGTTTGGCACAATCAGCACCCCATAGAAGTCTTCCAGGGTGGATTTACTTTAATTTCAGGGAAAATTTCCAGGAAAATTGAGGCGATTTAATAAGACGGAGTATGAGGGCCAGGCTAGAGTTTAACTTAAAAAATTACAAGAATAAATTCATCATTTCACGACCTGTGGCAGAAAATAGATTTAAAGTTCTGATTCTGATCATAATTTGATGCTAAAAGACAATATTTCCTCAGAAGATGCTTGAGATTAGTGATGGTTCTCACAGAATACTGACCCCTGCTGGACATTTAAGGACACTACAGGCAGCTGATTGGACAATAAACTGAATTAACTTAATGACCTAAAACAATGATATCATTGAAGTTATTGGAGGTTATATTGTATTATTTCATATCTATGTTTAAATTGAAAATATCTTTGATATTTTTAGATGCAGCCAATAAATAATGTAAACATTTATCATAACGTGATAATTTAGGGGAAAATGTGAATGAGGATGCTGCTGGACCAGGATTTTAAATTATATTTCAGATCAGAGAAGTTGAGTTATAACTGAGAGGAAAAGGATGAAACAACGAAAAAAATGAAATAAAATCACTACTTGACATTCCTTATTTTATGGTAGAAAACTTCTGGTAAGAATTATCATAAAAAACAACTTTATTCTCATAATTTTCTGACTTTATTTTTGAATCAAACCCAGAGTACCTGCTCATCCACAGGGTAGGGCTGTCCCTCTGCCAGCTGATTGGCCAGATAAACGTCTCCCTCACTGACGTCATAGCCCACTATAGTCAGGGCGGAAGGGAAAAGGTTGAGGTTTCCGATGTGGTCTGAGTGTCCGTGGGTCCCCACCACCAGCCTAATGTCCCCCGGGTCCAGACCCCGCTGCTTCAGGGTCTGCAGGAGGAAGTCCCGGTCCCAGGGCCCCCCGGTGTCCACCAGGATGTCCTGGGGCCCCCTGATCAGGGTGATGGTCCCGTCGGCTTTGGACGCCCCCCCGGGCTGAGGGACGCAGTATCCGACCTTCAGGACGGACACGGAGTAAGGCTGGCCCGGGAAGTCCAGCTGGTTCTGGGTCAAACACACCTTCTGGTACCGGTCCGGGTTCGGGTCCCGCTCCGGGTCCATCAGAAGCAGGCTGCTTCAGCGCCTCTCCTTCTCGGGCTCCTAGTGGAGTCTATCGGCGGTAGGTTGGAGCTTTACCGCCACCTGCTGGTCTGAGTTGGTCATTTCAGTTCCAGAGCGGAAAATGTTTTCCTCAACAAATAAAAATACTTTTTACATCTTTGCTCCTTAATTCCTTTATAATAGAATAATAATCTTGAAATTATTTGATCTCTTTTATTCTCCTCCTTCTTATTTTGCTTTTATTTGTTATTTTAAACCATTCCAAAAAGTAAAAAAAACGATCCAAGGGAAGATTTTGCAATTAAAAATGTCAGAATTCCGTTCCAGGCTTTATGCAGTAGCCAAATAAAGCCTTGTTTATGTTTAGAAAACATGTTTATGTTTAGAAAACATGACATAAACATGTTTTTCTAAACATAAACATGTTTTTCTAAACATAAACATGTTTTCTAAATATAAACATTGGCCTTTTGACTCTTTGAATTGGGAAAAGCTTCCTGGATGGGAAGCAAAATGTATGGAAGCCTGTTTCTGCCATGTAAAAAAAAAAAAGCAAATATAAATTAATAATTATGTGATTCAGAATCACAAATATGACTTTTTAAAGTCATGATTATAAATGTAATTCTATATAATACATATAGTTATAATTATTACTTTTAAAAGTCAAAAAGATATCAATCCAAACATCTGCTCTAGTATCTGAGTGACTTCTCTGCAAACTGATTAAACAACGATGAATGTGAACCAATCATCCTCCCAGTGGTCTTATTTCCTCTACCCTTGTTCTATAAACAGAATTTCTAGCATTCCTCCTGTGTATACTGGTATATTATCACTGGTCCTCTTTCCTGTGATAATATGGAACTGTGGGATAGATGCTCCTATCTCCTTAACTAAACCTTTTGATGTTTCTGTGTATGGCTGGATGAAGCTGTAATAACTATTAATATATGCCTGTAATGTATGTTAAAATACCTCTTTTATCCTTGTTTTTCCTTTCTAGTAGTATAAGGTCTACTTTTGCTTCAGGTAGCATCCATGGTGGTATTCTAGTCCCCTCTATCCACACCTGTTCCCTACCTTCATCTGGTCTGTTCCTGTTTGGCTGTGACTCCATCCTGGAGAGAAATATCAGCTGTGCTGCTGCCATCAACAC